AGTGATGAGTGCAGATGACTGAATTAAACGGAGCTGAAAGTATAATTAGACGTTCCACTGAAAAAAGTCAGATTAAACAACTTCTATCAGCATTCAGTAACATGTTGGACCAACTTAATGTCCGTGTGTTGAGTCAGTGTAATTTATTCAAGTTGATTTAACTTTGTTCCAAGAATTCGGTCCAACTTAGTTGTTAATTAATTAATGGACCAACTAATTTTAAAACATAAAAATTTACACTGAAATTGATTTAAACCAGATACAATACACTGATTAATGCTGAAAGAACGCTCATTGGTCACATTAAAATGCTTTCTACGATAGAATTATTTGAAATATAATTTCTGACTCTTTAAAATCACAAACAAAAATTAACTATTTGCATTTTAAAGTGATTGAATTATTTCTTCCAGCATTAATGAACTGGATCGACTTATTGTGCTGGTGTTGAGTCACCTGAACGTACACGATGATACGACTCATTTTTCTAAACAACCTCGATCGACTCATTTTATCTCAACATGAACGAAACCTGTAAATGTTTAGTTATTGAATATTTATTTCTAACGTTTTCGAGTGCACTTAGCGGGTTCTCATATCAGCAGCTTTGCTCCATCAGCTTAAGTAATGGATCTGGAGACTGATTTTTTTTTTAAAAACTAGCTAGAAAAGCAAAGTCTTGGGGGGAAAAGTTGAGAAAGACAAAACAGTCACACATAAATGCCACTAAATTGAAAACAATTATTCCTGAAATAACTGGCTTTAGCTACAGCTAACATTCTCTGTGCATTTTCATAACTGACAACACAGTATTTTATGGCTCCAGATGAATATTTGTTGCTTTTATATCACATTTGAACAAACAGCTGGAGGAGCCGCTTAAAGTTCTTCAGCTTCCATGAAAAATATAGTTGAAGGGAAAATTTTTGGCTGAACAAGAATATAAATGCAGCGTTTCATACTTTTATTGAATTCTGTCTGTTCTTTGTAACGTAGAGGAATGAATGTTTGTTGTCCAACGCATGGCGTCTCCACAACAGAATCATGAAACAACCAAGTGTATTGATCAGGATCATGAGCAGATGGAGAGAGGACATGAAGTACAAACTACAAGTCAACAGTGACTCATCAGCTGGACTGTGGGACGTCTGACTGAAGGACTCGGTGAAGCTGGTGGACGTCTTTAGGGGTCAGGATTCTGTTGTCGGACATTTGGAGCGGTCTGAACCGTTGTCAAGGAGGTCAAATGGTGACGTTGTGGACATTAAGGTTTAACTACATGCAGATTGTTTGTCTTTCTCCTGTGGCTGCATTTTAAGGTGAACTTTTACAGTCACTGGTGTTTGGAGCGTCCGTCCACTGGTCACAGCATCTGACCCTTTAACGACAAACCTCACTAAAGGTTGTCGAGAATTTGTCACCAGTTAAACAGCTCAGAACTGGATCAATTTAACCCTTTCCTACCCATCCATCCCTCCATTTTCTGCCACCTATGCGGGGTTGAGTCTTGGTGGAAGCAGTCTAAGTAGTTCCAGCTCCTAGCGGGGCATCGAGGTGTTCCCAGGCCGGATGAGATATACGATCCCTGCAGTGAGTTCTGGTTCTACCTCCTGGTTTCCTCCCAGCTGGAAGGAATCAGACGCCTGAAACAGCTCAACTGGCTTTTTTGAGCTGAGTTTACAGAGAAACCGATTTCGGCCGCTTGTATCCTCGATTTCATTCCTTTGGTTACTTCTGAGAGCAAACAAAGACCGACGGGTACATGGAGAGCGTTGCTTTGTCGTCACTGCAACGGTCCGGTACGTCACCCAACTGTCCCTTTTCTGGTCACTTGTTAACAGGATCCTGAGATACTTGAAGCTGCTTTTCTTTCTAACCAGAGCAGAAAGGTAAAAGGTTCAGTGTATCTGTTACATAAGAACAAACTCTGATGGAAACCTCGTTAGTTCAGATACTCAGCTTCCACACAAAAAAAAAGAAAAAATATTTGGAAAGGCACATTTTTTGGCTTTAATTTTGCATTTAGCACTTCATAAATAAAAGATAGGACACGAAATTACTTTGCAATTATAAAACGAGGGAGATCTAAGTTGTTTGTTTGCCTGTGATTTGCATTTTCATCAGTAAAATGTCACAAGTTAACAGATTTTCAGGATTGTTGGAGATGGGTTTTCTGACAACAGATTAATTGACCAATCATCTCTTCTTTCAAACAAATAAATATACTTCTATTTGTAAAAATGAGCAATAGTGCTATCTACAAACAGTTTTGGTTTAATATGTGAAGCACAAGTATATTTTAACAGATCTTTTTAGATTCTTTAATTGGAGGAGAAGAAATCACTAGAAACTATACGCTGAATATATTTATATACAAAAAAACCGCACTCTTCCCGCTCCTGTAGCTCTTCTGGTTGGATGTTAAACTGCATTTTGTTGTCTTAGCATTTAGAAAACGTTGATATCTGGTTTTGTTAACTTGGTATCTCAGCAGCAGCAGTGGTTTAGTTGATCCTGTTTCCACCACAGTTTGGTCCGGGAGGTTTTTATCTCGGTATCAGCTCTAAGCTCTCGCTGTCGCCCTCTGCAGGTGACCAAGATGCTGGCGGTGGTGGTGGTCCTGTTCGCCGTGCTCTGGATGCCCTACCGCACCCTGGTGGTGGTGAACTCCTTCCTGGAACCGGCCTACCTGGACAGCTGGTTCCTGCTCTTCTGCCGGATCTGCATCTACCTCAACAGCGCCATCAACCCGGTCATCTACAACGCCATGTCGCAGAAGTTCCGCGCCGCCTTCCGCAAGATCTGCGGCTGCGGCGGGAAGTCGTCAGACAAGCCGGCCGCCTACAGTGTGGCGCTCACCTACAGCGCCGTCAAGGACACGTCGATGGTGGAGAGCACCGACCACTTCACCACCGAGCTGGAGGAGCTCACCGTCACCGACGACCTGCTGTCCGAGCAGAAGATGATGTTCTCGGACCCCTGCGTGTACGGCAAGGTGGACTTCAGCGACGCCTGAGGGTTCCTTCGAGTGCGCGAGGGGACGAATCTGCGGGTCAATCGAGGATTAAACACTTTGAAGATGGAGTCTGTTAAGTGGGAATATCGTTTCCTGAGCACCAGCTGACCTTTACCGAAGCCGGTCAGCTGCAGCTCGAGATGTAAACACAGATTACAGCCGCTGATGACAGTCTTTGAGGCGCGAAGCCAAACACGCTCTTCACAGCGAACGATCCCGGACATTGTAAAGTCATAAACAGCGACAGATAAGCGGCGTCTTATCGTACAGCCGGACCTGCCCACGTAATATAGACGTACGAGTCAACAGAGGCTGGATGTGAACTAAAACACCATTTATCTCACGTCGCAGATTCATTTCTGGTCTTTAAAGCTCCACCACGACACGCTGGCGGCTCCTAAAGGTAAAAACGTAAACCCAGAAACCCCGTCAGCCTGACCTGGTGACGTTTTACACCAAAGGATACCAAAGACGAGACAAACGGCACCAACTCCGGCTTCATGCGAGGACTTCGCGTTACGATTCACCATTTTTACTTGAGTGAATCGACTGAACTTCACATAATACAGTTCAGGATGGTTCATTTCTCTCCCCCAGACTTTGGGATTGAGATGGAAAGTGCAGCTTTGTAATGACTGCCCACCGTCCTGGTGTTTTCAGAGCCGGTGGTCCATTAAAGGGTGACTCACACATGAACCTTCGCTGACAAAACAGGCCACGTTTTAGCTGTGAAGGATGAGCATGAGGAGAAAACCCAGACAAGCTGAGGGCGATGTGAAGGCTGGAATTCAATCTGCATTAGATCTTTTGATACTCTGCTGAGTTTTGTCCACTTGCAGGTGGAACAGACAGAAGTACAGAAAGCGCTTTGCAACTTGAATTCAAAAAGTGCCACAATGCAGTTTATCGTGTGTGTTCCTGTTTCTAATAAGGCAGAAGTCACAGGGGGTTTAAAAGTTGACATCGACGGCTGTATTTACAGGAAATATATCATGTTATCTTTTAATAATAAGTTATTCCTGAAGATTTTCATGAAATCAAAGCCAATTCTGACCTATTTACGGTCAGTATTGATCCTGTAATTACATTTCTACAGAGTTATTTTGCTGCTCACCCTCTCTGGTGCAGGATTGAAATTGTCTACAGCCCTCCTTAGTCAACATATTTAGTTTTGCTCAACTGTCGGGTGCCAAAAGGATCAGTATGACGTATTTTAACCCATAGATATTCAACAACTGAGCCACGATAGCCTAAAATTGAACATTAAAACTACACAAAATACTTACTTAAAAAAGTCTGTCTTTAGGAATTTATTATTTTCTCTCTCTAGGAATCTGGAAAACTGTGAAATTCCCCCAAACTCATGTATTGTTGGACTATATTTTTAACCAAATAACATATTTAAGATGTTCTTTGTTTACTTCCACTCACTGAGTCTCCCTTAAAACAGTTTAGAGCCGCCTTGGGGAGACCTGTCTCCCACTTTAAAAACCTCCGGTCTGCAGGAAACAAAGCATGCATGTGATCGTAGGCCACAATTTTATCTGTTGGATATCAGCCTGGAATAATCAGGCAGCGAGGTGACGCAGTTTTCCTTTGCTACCTCCACAGTCCATTCAAAAGAAATAAATGGTGATAAAGATGCCGGCCTCATTTACTGGCAACTCTGTTTGTTAAAAAGCATGTAGGAAGTCTTAAACTGATAAATATTACATTAACTGTTCTTAGAAAGCATAAGAAGTCACTCCTGATTGGTTTAGACAAAATGATGCCAAATACCAAACCGAGAATGAACTCGAGGTCTCCCTAACTTCCTCCTATCTGGATGAGCATCAGGTTTCCTGGACAGAAGTTTCCAAAAATTGCGTTCCGATGCAACTACGCTGCATTCTCATATCTGTTTTTAGGAATTCTGTTTGCAAAGTATCACAAATAGATTTCTAATCAACATATTTACTTTATTGCTTTACTGCTGTTGGGAGAAGAAGCTTCTAACATGTGGTGAAAAAGTCGTATTTTAATACAAATCAGGACCTTTTTTCAATCAACTAGTTGTGGTGCCAAACCTTAACCAGGCTTCTAACATGGAGGAGTGTCCAACAAACAGTCATATTTAACTGCTGTGGCTCAGGTGGTAGAGCGGGTTGTCCTCTAATCGCAAGGTTGGCGGTTCGATCCCCTGCCCGTCCACAGTCGAAGTGTCCTTGGGCAAGACACTGAACCCGAAGTTGCTCCCAATGGCAGGCAGCACCTTGCATGGCAGCTCTGTCGCCATTGGTGTATGAATGTGTGTGTGAATGGGTGAATGAGAAACATTGTAAAGCGCTTTGAGTGCCGCAAAGGTAGAAAAGCGCTATATAAGTGCAGACCATTTAACTAAACCTAAACAGAAAGTGAGGAAAAACCGGGCGTAAAAAAATAACTGAAACTAATTTCTGAGCCCGATGGAGTCTTGGGCCTCAGACGTGACCTCTGGTCTTCTGGGTAAAAGTTCAAACTCTGATTTATGCCTCCATCCTCTGAGCATCCTAGGGTGGACTTTGTGGCTTTTTCAAACTTTCTGTCTTTCCCACAGGTGGCAAATTACATTAATGTCAAAATGCTATTACATTCCTCTCATCACGTGTTTGAGAATGCCGTTAGCAATGCCCGATTCCTGCTAACTCCTAGCTAAACGCGGCCACACCTGTAATTTGGTGTGAATTTCACTTTAGAGACCAGAACGGATCCCTGTACCAGGCTGTAAACACGTTTATTACTCCTTTACATGGAGCTCTGTGGGGATTGACTCACCTTTAGAGGAAGCCTCTAGTGGTCAGTGGAGGAACTGCAGTTTTCTTCTGTTTCTAGGCTGGAGGTTTCTGCTTGGTCTGGAAGAGCTGCAGAGCATTTGGACCAACATCTTTTTATTAACAGTTATTAGTATCTTCAGCTAGACAGACTGCTGTTGTGAGAGAGACCTTAATGCTGCTTAATCCAAGAAGAGACGACGAGCGGCGGATCTTTTAAAGGCCTCCTCTGGTGAACAACCAATGTTTTCCCTTGTTAACATGTCCATGTGGTGTTTTTATAACTAGACGACAACACCGTGACTGTGTGTTTCTACCTTAAACCTGCAGTGAACCGATGACAATCTCCAAAAACACAGGTTCAGATTTCCAGTTTTTATACAGACCTAAAGAACCAATCCTGTCTGGGCTTTCTGGTTCCAACATTTCGGGTTGAGTTGCTCCAATATTGCGACTTGCCATTGGGTAGCTTTACACTGGTGAGCCGGTGTGCTGGAGCTGCAGTGAGCTGGGCAGGGTTAGCATTGAGATCTGAACATGTTAAGAGGAAACAGCGATGCAGAGTTACATCAACGCCATTGTAAAGCAGGAATGGAGAAAACTTGTAGATATCTAACTATTCATGGTGTCAGTTTTTAGGTGTTGAATCAATGATTTGAGAAAGATTTAAAAACAAGTTATGACTCTTGATTGATGGTTTTCTCGCCTGGCACCTCTGGACAGATGGAAAAATGGAAATGTGTCTTAAGATCTTTCAGTTCATGTTGGATTTTCAAGGATCGCTATCACTGGACCAAAACGCCTCCGAGAGCGAGCGGTTAAACCTACGACCAACTAAATGTTTGACGTAGCGCTGAGAAAATGCAAAAAGGCTACAAGTGTGGTTGTTTTGTCTTCTTGTAGAGAAAATACACCATCCAGTTCTGTTCATGTTGACACAACAGAGGATTTCAAAAGACCGATTCGCATCAGTGGCAGCCATCTTGGTTGTTTACAAAAGTGGCCTCAATGGTACCCTTATGTCTGTTTGTGATTGAGTTCTGAATCTTCTAATCAAGCCTTAATATTATTAACAAACTAATATAATGCACAGCTTTAGGTTCAACTTATAAACCCTTTATAAAATGCCTTATTAGACACGTCTCAGTGGTTATTATACGATTCTCTCATGAACTAATAAGTTGCTGCAGTGGTTGTAAACCTCGGTGTAACAGACCTTATCGTTTAGTGTTGCAGAGGTTCAGTGTAACATATAGAGTCCGCTGATATAGTTTAGCTGCAGCAGCATCAGTGATTTCCAGCCGAGGCAGAGTGAATCTTTAGTGTTTTGGTCTGTGTGTTCTGTAACGTGTGAACTGTGGATCTAACAAACCTTCGCTTTGCTCACTTAGTCGGCGGACGGACGAGTGATGTTGTTCCTGCCAGATCAGTGACTGTTTATGAATCTCTGAGAGCAGCCCGACACGGTGGGGAAATATAATTGGGCAGCGACGGCAAACGCAGCGGAGGGAAGGAGCTCCATTCACTGCCGAATGTGAAAAATAACTGCCAGTGTTTGTGTAATTGCGTCGACGCTGCACATGCCTTCAGTAGAGTCGTGCATCCGTGTGTGTCCCCTGTGCTTTTAAAGTGACTGTGTTTACGGTAACTCTGCTGTTTGTCAGGCAGAAGTGTTTTTATGCCACTCTTGCTTTCATTATTACTCATTTAAACCTTATAAATATTCTTTTGTGACGTGGTGTTTGGCAGCTGCTGCTTTGGTCCTGCTTCTTAGATAAACGTGAACCTGTGAACATGTTCGACGGCTCAACTAGAGATTTGTACATTTTGTCCATGTTGAAAATAAAGTTATTTCTGGAAATAGAGTACATGATTGTTGTTATTTGTCTGTGTTGTTCTTGCAAAAGTTTTAATTTTTTCCCCCCATATTCTTGGTAATGAGTTGGTACTTCCTGTTCTTATGTCCTCACCAACCAACCACCCACGCTGCAGGACTGGGCTTCAGCCGAAACACACGAGGGAGATGATTCAAAATGAAAATAAATCCAGTGTTCCTGAAATTGCATTTCTTTTTTTGGATACTTTGGTGGATCTCATCACCTCACTGGACAATTTCTGCATCAAAAAAATACCCCAAAGAAAAGAAGATGGGGGGAAAATAGACAAGTAAAG